AGCATGAGTGGCACGGGACATAGGGAGCATGGGTGGCACGGGACACAGGGAGACTGAGTGATATGGGGCGCAAGGATCATGGGTGACACGAGACACAGGGAGCATGGGTAACACGGAACACAGGGAGCGTGGGTGACCCATCACACAGGGAGCGTGGGTGAATGGAGTATGGGTGACAGGGCACATACGGAGCGCAGCTGATAGGGGACACAGGGAGCGTGGGTGACACGGTTCATAGGTAGCGTGAGTGACACGGGGTGCAGTTTCTCAATATTGTCCCGGGCGAAGTCATCGCGTGCAAAAGTGGCATTGACCGTACCCAAACCCACCCAACATTGCTCCTTCCTTTCAATCGCCCGCAGAGCTGCAGCTGTAGAAAATAACTACGACTGAAACACGGAGTTAGTGATGATGTGCGGTTTATGTAGGCTTATTTTTAGCGCATTACAACTCGCCTATCTGTATCAGCATGGAGTGTGGGCAACCGACCCCCGTGGTCGGTCGCCCGTGGTCGGTTGCCCGTGCCAAGCATGGTCGGTGCGCTGCCCGTCAGCTGATCCCTTCTACCCGGTGGCACGTTTGGTGACGTCACATATCCCGAGGAGGCCACCATCACGCGGTCGCGACCCGTTTAGCTGGAGGCTAGCCTCCCAATCCAGCTGTGCCCCTCCCCTCTTTCCCCTTCAATTCACGCTGATCCCAAATCCTCAATCGACGCTAGCTTGCACAAAGCCTTCAGGGCACGGCGCGTTCCACGAGCGATGACTTGTGCACAAATCCGACTTCACCGTAAGCGTGTGTACTTTTCGAAACGCGTAAAAGTTGTAGTATCGCCTCGTCTAGCAGAATCTGACCTCACGCAGGCCCGGGGCGTCACTAGGTCACCGTTCACCAGCGTCGTGGCCAGGTCCCGGGCAGTGTCCTCCAGCTTACCTGAAACAAAATAGCATCTGGCTCAGTCCCTGCGTGTGATTCACGCCACCGTCATTAATCAGGCACGGCGCCGCTTTGCCGCCTGTCATATACATCTTGGCAGCCATTATACGCTGACACATATGCGTGCGGACCAGCTGTGCGGTATTTACATATCGCTGGATCTCCCACGAAGGGCGTGAGAAGCGCGGGCGGGGTGGGACTTCCGCTGAAGTACTCGGTAATAGGCGGGCCAAGCGTCCGCGGGCACGAACATGACGAGCCTACATATGCAACCGCCGCTTGCACGAGCAGAATTCTGAGCAGCAGTTATGCCGCGGTCCGCGCAGGAGCGTAGGACCACGTTGTCAGGGGCTGCACGTTAATTAGTGACTCCTTTGTCCATAATTCGTGTCGTACAGTTTGAAGCTTGAAATTATAATTGGTATACGTTGAAGTTAAACTGTTATTGTGTTGTGTTTTTGTGCTTCATATGTTGACTAATCAATTTGGGGGACAGGGCAGCGGAAAAGCGAAAGCAGCCGAAGATAATTTAAAACTGAAATCTGTTCATTGACGTAGTTATGTTTATTGGTAAACATACACGAACGATGGAAACACGGGACAAGCTTTTAACCCCTAAAATGCATATATTTTATGGTAAGGTAATGCCCCACGAGGATGATAAATGAAATCCCAACACAAAGCGGGAGGCAGTGACAGGCTGCTCTCTGTAAAGAAACGAGCGTTGTGGCAACAAAAAGCTTTTTGATCGAAATGCCAGATTTTTGACCTGGGGCACCATTGTCCTTCGTTGAAGCCCTGTCAAGGTCGACAGTCAACTGGCAACGTTGGAGTGTCCCACCGTAGAGACAACGTACTTCATCGATGGCTATGCTCCCCCGAGTCGCGGTGCATCCCTCATACACAGCGGTCTCCTCAATTTACCATTCACCGACTCACACTCGACGCCCCACAAGCACTGTGTGTTTGCCACTCGAGGGCAGGACCAGCCGGCCGCCCGGACCCCTCGGATCGGGCTCCTGCCGTGTGTGAAGCCAGGTGGGCGGGCGGCGGCGGAGCATGCGGCTCGCCCCAGAGAGCTGCTTGGCTGCCGTCCAAGGAAGAGCACACGCCTCGGTACTGGAGAGCGATGGCACATCTACGCGCACAGAGAATGAGCGTCGAGCGATTCTCGGCGCAGTCCGGCGCTTATGCTACAATCATTTTCGCGCCGTATAGTTGCATGGCGATTGCGCGTTGATATTGCTGGAGCCTGACGCTGCTGCTTGCCAGAGCGAAACAAGGACGAAGGCGGAAGGAGAGGGCGTACAGTGTTGACCCAATGTCTGGAGAAATTTATTATTGTACCGTTGCCAGTTAACCTCCCCGGGTCCGTTCCATCCTGTTACAAAGCCGTTGTGACACACCTCGTCGTCAGTGGTGCACTCAGAGGTCCATCCACAGCCTCTCCCCCCTGCAGCGGTCACGGGGGGGGGGGAGGCGGTGGACTGGTCGGCGTGCCGGCTTAACCGACCGAATGAGGCGTAAGTGGCGTCTCAGTTGTTGTCGCGACAGCGCCTGATCGCAGTGACAACGCCGAGACTCTGATGCTCGCACTGAGCTGTCGGACGGGCGCCAATCGGCTAGTATCAGGCGGATTTGGTCGCCTCCATCAGGTATTGGTCGTTTCCATCGTGTTCGCAGTGGCCTCAGCGCTGTAAATTCGCTGCTGTTCGTCGCAGCCACGGAGAGGCACCATCGCTGGCCAGGTGTTCGGTTCTCCACAGCTGGCGCGAGAGCGGTCAGATAGAATATATCCTGACGTCTTCCGACGCGCCGGAATGCGCCGCTTGACATCACAGGCGGCGGCGTAAAAAATAGGCCACGTGTCTCCGTGTAGCGAAGTCCGTGGGTTATTTGTGAACTGTAAAATGTCACAAAGGTACTGCTTTCGATACTGCGACTGAACTAAATAGACGGAGGCTTGATATAACCAAGAATGACATTGGGCCCTTGACTTAAGCGAAATATTAAAAAACAACATTTCCAGTAATTTAAGAGCGGAGTACCTAACAATCTAGCTGGCGAACCTTTACACAACCGACTTTGTTCGACCTACGTTCTTCAGACATTCTGAAAACGTTATTCGAAGTGTATGAAAAAATAACAATATGGTGCATGCATAATTCCACAACGCAAAATAGCGTTGCAACTCGTATACAGACGATGAAAGCAACTTGAGTCACATTTATCATATGATAACCTAAGAGCATGATAAAACTACCGTTACCACTGGCTCCTACATGATTACCTTGTCGGGCCATGCATCTCATAAATGAGAAATTGATCCTCGTAAGTTGCAGAACAAACCAGAACCCACCTAATCGATCCTGCCTGTAGATGAACTGCGCACTGGCTCCAACCGCGCACAGCCAGAGGATCACAATTCGCAGCACCACCTCCGCCATCTCACGCGTCGGTGCCGACGGCCGACCGGCGAGCGCCGCTGGCACCGCCTCTGGCGACCTCACCCGCGTCCCAACTCGGCCAGAGTCACTCCCACACGGTCCACCACCCCCGAACCCGCGGGACCGCACTGTCCGGCGACCGCCGGCGACCGCCGCCACCTCCGCGCCCGTGCGGAACTCCCTCGGCCGCGAGCGCCGCGGTCGCGCAACCCGCCACAAACGGCGCGGCGCGCGTGTCGGCCGGCGACCGCGCTGCCATCTGTGGGCGGGCGGCGGCGGCTGATCGTGCGTCAGCTGAGCGGGCGCGCTCTCCACGGCGGCGGCCGCGGCCCAAAATACCCCGCGGCGGCGAGCTCGCCGCGCGACCGGGCCATTAGTGACGGCCAAATCGGCGCAACCGCCGTGCCGGCAGATGGATGACGTCCAATGGGAGGAGCCCTGTTGACTGGGAGACGATGACGCCGGCGGGTAATCGCTCCGGGTCGTCCGTTTACCGGCGGGGGCGGCGACGACCCGTGCAGCCAGCTCGCCTCCGAATCTGGGTCGGTAAAACAGCGCGAGCGATCGCCCCAGCTGGTGAGTCTGACCAAGGTTAGTCGGGCCGAGATCAGAGCGCCGGCTCTGTCTGTGGGCGCCACAAATCATCGAATATTGCAGCTGTTCACGGAAAAATGACAAACATGCCCAATGCACCGATCTTTGATCACGCAGCTCAGCAAGATAACGGCTCTTACGCATCCTTCCCCTTCCCCTCATCTGTGTGTACGATTGCTGTGGGGTACATGCATCGTAGCACAATAATGCACGCCATCGATCCTGACAAGCTTTCTGCCGTAGGCAAGAGGGTTTGTTGATAAAAGCCATACATGACAGTTGAAAAGAAGTAGAGCATCGCCAGGAACGCGCCATGTCAAATGAAATGCGCTCGAACTACATAACTGCTTGCCACACCCAATAGGGTAACATACACATCTCTGGAGATCCGGGATGTATATATATATATATATATATATATATATATATATATATATATATATATATATATATATATGCATATAGGAAACGTCACACCGTAAGATCAGGTGGGACGAGGCCTTTCTGCCTAGGCTGAGGTTGAGCCACACACACGCAACCTAGTCGTTTCTCCATGCTGGCCAGCGGGCCCTAGTGTGTTACAAGCGCCGTGAACGGTCTACGGTCAAGTATGTACGTTTTTTCTGCCGTAAATACGATGTGGTTAGATTAGCATTCCTTTCAGTAGCGACTCTGGTACAGCTGGCCTGAGAAAATCCACGTTGCGCTGTGCAAATTTTGCATGACAGTTTTTCCAACGTTGACTTCAGTGTGATTTACAGGCATACATTATATTTTCCACATAGCTCCGTGTATGTGCAGCTACATTTGTGCATGAACACGCTTCATTTTATCCCAATCTTAGTTCTTTTTTAGGATTAACGTGATCTTAAGTTATCATACGATTTGACTTACCGCGCGATTTGACTGATCCTTCATAATGAGGATGTACTAATATATATATATATATATATATATATATATATATATACACGTTTGCGTTAAGATATACTGCGGCTGCCATACAGCAGCAAAATGTTTCAGCTGAATGAAATTTATGACAAATCCGACAAAGGGTCACTTGGGAACATATAACTGTAAAACGTGTGAATATATGTAAAGTCGTCTTCCTGAATGAAGATCAGTATATACCGGAGGCATCGATTTTTTTGGAAAAAAGAGGTAGCCGCAAACGATTCGTTTTAAAACGTCGTCATCAAGCGAGCTCTGCTGAATAATTTTACTGTTTAACAGCGGCGTCTGCTTGCCACCATTTCATGGTTTGACACGTGGGTGCCAAACCACTAGTTTGGACCCAAGCGGAGCATGAAGCGCGTAATCGCAGCAGGGGCGTAAATGATCGCCAATTTCGACATCTCCATGCCTCAGCGCCCTTCAAGCTGCTTCCTGGAAGCGCTTAACCCGCGCCACCGGCGACGCTAATCAATTCCAGCGCGGTCGGCGGTCCCGGTCTCTGCAGCCACCGCGGCCTGCTGCGCCGGTGTCCGGTTGCGCCCCTGCCCCCCCCCCTTCCCCCGCCGTCGGTACCGATGTGGTGTGACCGGAGCTGATGTGCCGGCGCACCCTATGACGGTCCCCACCGCCCCGACCCCCTCCGGCCGCCGCGGAGAGCTAATCGTCCGTGGGATGGCGTCGGGAGGGGAGGGGGCGTCCCCAGCCGCGGCTCACGGGCGGGTAAAACACCGGCCGGTGGAGGGAGCGAGACTGGACAGGTCGTGGCGCAGGTACTAAGCACGGACGGAAGTGATCGTGCCTGAGGAGAGCTTAGGGCCGCCGCGGGACAGCGGGAAAGGGACACCGCCACTGAGAGACTTCCGGTCGGCACCTGAAGGTGCTAATGATAACAGCGGTGTCGGGTGAACTGGTCAGCTGGATTCGTCGTGAGGACGATTGGAATGGCAGCGGCTTCATGGTTCGGTGGCGGAGCAGCCGAGCCAAGAGTGGCAACGGCAAGAGGTGACATGTTTGGGATTCCGGTGTTTGCAAGTGTTACTCAGTTAGCGTTACGTTACCAACTCCAGATGAGGTGCGTTTTTGCTCATGTAAAGGATACTTATAAAGATGATAATGAGCGGTATTTGGGTCTGCTCCGAAATATATTAAATACACACACAGACACACACACACACACACACACACACACACACACACACACACACATACATACATACATACATATATATATATATATATATATATATATATATATATATATATATATATATATATATATATAGGGATTGCGCATAGGAAGTGGTCCATTTGTGCTAAAAAAGAGCAGAACATTACCAGTTCAGCGTGCATGCTAAAAAGAGTAGAACATTTTCAATCGAGTAAGCAAACGGTTTGTTTAACTTCGACAAGCCTCGAAATACCAAGCCATTTTAGATGTTACCCCCTCAGCGCTTTGCCTTCGGCAGCAACGTTATGGACCAAAACGCTGGTTTGAGTACCACTAGGATTGCCATTAATTACACGGCTCGCATGCTGGCCAAACTTTGCGGAACTATTACGATGTAAGGAGAAAACTCCTGAGGAAAACAAGGGTAAGAACGAAAAGATTGTCTCCAGTCGTAAAGGAAACTTACCTTAGTTGGATATTAGTGTATACTGACTGCTGCTTACCTACGAACTTCTGTATTCATTTTGAAAATGCTGGTCATGCATATAGATATGAATGTTTATCACGCATATAATTATCAAAGGTCGAAACGCAGCCTGTCTACAATTAACAGGATTTATGGAGATATTTAGGGTGAAGCCACCACCGGCATTTGTGTATGAATGCTGCTCCCCGGCCTTCCACCGCCAGCGTTGCTGAAGCATCTTCAACGTTGCTAGTTCCCTACGAAATATAATACGAAAGTAAGAACCTCGATTGGTTGCCCAAGTTCCGAATGAGAAGCGACTGTTTCGCTGTTTGGACATTGGTGACGACGGGGTTAATGATCCAGCAGCTGAGGATACAACATCAAAGACAACTCTCGACTGCCGCCGTGCAATACTAAGTGAATGCTGCACGGCAAGTTCTCATGAACAGCCGGTGGCATAAGCGTATTAGATTGGGATCAGTATGGAAAAGACGCGTTATCGGTTACAGTGGCACATAGTCGGTATATGACGGAAGTGCAGGGTTCTGTGTCGCAAGATACGCACATTATTGCTAACAAATGTTTGGGGCATGAGTCGCTGAGTGTCTGACGTCATTAAATGCTTGTGGATTCTGGAGGTAAGCTAGCTATCATATTCCAAAGCAATTTTTGCTCTTCACAGTTACAGACACTGTGAGCGATGACCGCAGTGTTTCTGCTCAATGGCGTGTGTCGTGCACTATCGAAAAAGGGCTGCAAGCAAGCAACAGCTTACCGCCAGGTTACATTGTAACTATGCAAATGAGTCGCCACTGGAATGCAAACAGATGAAGGGGCGCATCATCGAGCAAAAGGTCTCCAAGTGAACTGTGAAATCTACCGTAAATAAATAACACAATTTTCATTTATACCATACCAGTTATCACACCATGTCATCACAGCCCGTCAATGATGATGTGAAGACATCCCTGACACAGTCCATTCCGTCCACATGTGTTGTTTGGATCGGCGGCCATGATCAGCCAACGGCGGGCTTTTCATCCCCAGTGACCGCGGCCGTGGCCGAGGTCAGCCGGGTCACGAGCGGCCGACACCATGTCACGTGCCGCCGTTACTTCCGGGCCGGCGACTGCAGTCACGAGTCGCGCCGCGGCCGTGGCTCAGCCCTGCTGCTGCAGCATCGGGCCCAGCGGGCCACGTGGGGAGGGGGGAGACTCGGGCCCCGCGCCAGTGGTGAGGCCCGAGAGAGAGAGAGAGAGAGAGAGAGAGAGAGAGAGAGAGAGAGAGAGGAGGAGTAAGAGAGATAGAGGAGAGAGAGAGAGAGAGAGAGATAAGAGAGAGAGAGAGAGATGAGAGAGAGAGAGAAGAGATAGAGAGAGAGAGAAGGAGAGAGAGAAGAGAGAGATAGAGAGAGAGAGAGACGAGAGAGATGAGAGAGTGGAGAGGATAAGAGAGAGAGGAGAAGAGGAGAAGGGAGCTAGAAAGAGAGGAGACACCACACATGCCGACCAGCCCGCCGCACGAACCAGCGTCCCAGGATCAACGGCACTTCTTCACAGACAACGGCTGGGAGGGCACCACACATGCCGTCGAGGCGATGGACGCCACAGAGCGCGCTCACGACCAGCGTTCGCCGGCGTCAGCGGTCGCTCGTCCGCGCCACCGTCTGGGAGGAGCTGCGGCGCCGGTCTAGTTTCGTGTTGACTGTGCGCTTATGCCGGAGGCAATCAGTGAAAGCGGGCATGGCTGTCAACACAGCAGGGGTGCTCATTTGTCAAGGTTCAAATTTAATCAGATGTTTTGTCACGCGCCTGCGAGCGCCCTTGGTGCGTCACAACACTCACTACGGGTGTGATATTTTCTACAAAATCTGGCGCCGATGTTTAGCAC